CATCTTTAGGCAAACACAAACCCTAATTTGAGTCCACAGTGCAAGGAGAAGTCTTGAGCAGAGGAAACCCTAATTGTATCTTGATCTTTAAATGTCTTGTGATGAGAAAAATGTTGAGGAAATGGGAGGGCAAATTTTGGGGTACAACACTATGTATCATAAAATGCCATTATAGGTTATTCTAGGGTTTTTCCAGGGGTTTTGATTACAGGAAAAATTGGCCAATAAAATGACCATGATTGGAACCGGGATGAAGAGGCGAGTAAGACTATGCCTTTAGATTGCATTTTTGTGGCTCATAGTGGATTTTGGAGATGGCATGGCATATAGCTACGGACGGTTGTCCGTAGGTATAGGTGGAGAAGTTTTTAGCCACGGTCCCAACGACAGGGATGATGGCGTGACGTGTCCTGATTCGTTTGTTTGAATATGGCGCGTTTTTGTTTTTTTTTCTGATCCATGAACTTGTTTTGTCTTATTATCATTAGTTTTCAATATATTAACAATTCAGGCACGTTGGTTCAGTGGTAAGGGCGTTGGTTCAAAATCCAAGAGGACCTGGGTTCGACTCCCAGGTCCCCATATTCTTTGCTATTATTTTCTTGCAGATGATCCAGCGTATCTCATACATTGCAATGCACCATACTCCCTCAAATCTTGAAGCGCCAGATGGCCCCAGGCCAGATCTGGTGGTCAGGAATGAATGTCTACCATACACCCAAGTCAACATGCGCGTGGAGAAATAGAAAAGTCAATCAGGCTGGCTTGTATTGGGCCACAAAAATGCTGGTTTCACCCCCAAATCAGGCCCAACCCCCTTGGTTATTCCTTTCTTCTTTTTTATTTTTTTATTTGTTTTGTTAATTATTATTATTTTTATCACTAACCAATTAAATTTTTTCCTCATAAAATCAAAAACCAAAAAATATGTTTTATTTATTAAAATTAAATTCATGACTTTATTTTTGTAAATAAATTAATTTAATTAATTTAGTGTTAATTAGGTTTAACTTTTAATATTTTTTGCAATATTTAAAATCAATGTAGATAACTAGGTTTTACTAACTTTGACCAAATTTGTTTTATTTTCTTTAAATATCCAAAAATCCAAAAAATATATTTTTCTTAATTAATTAATTAGTTTATTTATTTAATTAACTTAAATTAATTTCTTTTAATTCAAAAATAAACAAAAAACGCTTTCTTTCAAAAAAGGGTCAAAACCCTAAAAAATGCGCCCGATTTAATTTTCTCGCACGCGATCTATATTTTCATATTATTGTACTTGCTTCCGGAATGTAATAGCTTTAAATAGGACTTTAATTATTTTATCGCTTTCTTTTATTTTCCGCAATTTAATTTCAAAGGTTGTTTTTGGCGATGTAAATACCCGACGCCTTGTAATAGTTTAGATTTAATTTCTGCAATCTATAAACTGTTAGATGTATGGTAATAGGGAATGCATGAAAAGATCAAATGTGTGAACTTAAAATCAACATAGCTCACCCATGACATGTACAAAGATAAAATTAACCGAAATAACACACTCGCACATGCGCACTCCTAGGGTACACCTCACTTGGTTGCCTTCGAACGTGGTCATTGAGTATAGGAAGTTTTAGAGGTCGCCCTCTTGTCCAAAGATCATAGTTGCCTCGAAACGGTTGCCTCAGAAAAATGATCTAAGACATTAGGGTTACCGCTAAGGCGTTCTAACATTGCTTTAGTGACCACACGTCCCTTAATCGAATTGACCCTAAAACTCAAACGACGATGCTACCTACTCATCAATAGTAGACTAGCATTGTCTAAAGGACATTAGTACATATTGATTCTTTTTTCGAGTAGGTAGATGGTTCTTAAGTACTTGCTCTCTTCAAAACAAAACAAAACTTTTCGCACTTACACACCTTTCAAACAAAAACTTCTTTCAAACCCACAAACACAAAGAAAAGCAATTTTTGAAAACACTTTGAGCAAGTACCCAAGAGCCCGTGGATAACCACAGATAGAAAGGGTGCTAACACCTTCCCTTTCTATAATCTACCCCCCGGACCCGAGAAACATCTCGAAAAAGGAATTTTTCTGTGCTTTTTTCCTTTCCTTGTTGGATAAAATAAAAGACGGTGGCGACTCTTGCTTACCGCGACATTTTGCGAAACAAACGCAAAACGCGAACCAACATTCCAAAAACAGTCAGTTCTCTTCCCACCGTATCACAATTTGTTATTAACAGGTAGCTGCAAAAGTGAGATCGAAGACTTCAAAGGTGATCTCAGCAAGGAATTCGAAATGTCTGATTTGGGTGAGATTCCATATTTCCTTGGTATCGAATTCTACAAGAGAAATAGAGGTTTGATGATGCATCAAAGAAGATATGCAGGAGAAATTCTCAAGAGGTTTGAGATGGAAGAATGCAACTCAACTTTGACACCTGCATAACTAAGACTGCAATTGTCGAAATATGCAGATGAAGATGATGTTGATCCAATCTAATACAAAAGAATTATTAGATCATTAAGATATCTTTGTCATACAAGGCATGACTTAGCATACAATATAGGTATGGTAAGTAGATTCATGCTAAAGTCAAAGGTATCACATCCAGCAGCAATGAAGAGGATACTAAGGTATCTCAAAGGAACTTTCAATTATGACATTTTGTTTCCTGCAACTAATAAAGGAAAAGAATGCAAGTTAGTGGGATACACTGATTCGAGTTGGTATAGTGATGCTGAAGATAGAATGTCAACAACAGGATATGTATTTATGCTAGGTGGTACACCAGTTTCTTGGAATTCAAGAAAGGAACCAGTAGTGACATTATCATCATGCGAAGCAGAATACATAGCTGCTTCTCTTTGTGCATGTCAAGCAACTTGGATGGTAAACTTGGTCGAAGAAATAATAGGAAAAGATCATGGAGCAATTACCATAAAGATAGACATCATGTCAGCTATTAATCTGGAAAAGAACCCAATAGCACATGGTCGAAGCAAGCACATCGAAATGAGGTTCCATTATCTTTGAGAGCAGGTAGCAGATAGGAAGATGAATTTGAAACACTACAGAACTGAGAATCAGATTACAGACATCACGACAAAGGGAGTGCAAGTCGAAATATTCAGAAGACTAAGAGCCATGATGAATATAGATAGTTTAGACACAATGAATTAGGCGGTGTATTAAATTATAATTCAGTGTGTTGAAACTATGTGTCGAAAATATTTGATTTATTTAGATTTAAATAGATTTGATTTAAGGCTAGAATAAATTAGGTTTGATTTAGTAACAAAAAGATATTTTTGGTTTTGGTCTTAGGGTGTAAGCTCAGTTATAAATAGAGGGAGTAACCCCTATTTTTTGTAAGTAAGTCAAGCAAATTGTATTCACAGAATTTGCAGTTGCAAGTAAATAACAAAGTTTTCACAGTTTGTGAGCAGAGAGAAACTCTGTAGAAATTATTTGTCTTGTCTTCTTTCTTTGTTTGTCTCATAATTAAATTGTCATTGTGGTAGAAATTCATCATAGACTTTGGTGGATTTCCAACAATGAATATATTTTGTTTGCCTTTATTCACTCTAAAAATTTATTTTAAATAAGTCTCTTAAACGTTAGAGGTGGTACATGTTGCACGGTATAAAGTGATAAAAAAAAATTAAAGATCATATAATTATAAAGACAAATGACTTATTTACATAAATATATGAGTTTTGTTTTTCTCGCTTTTTTATATATAATATGAAAATAGAAACAACATACAAAACAAAAAATAAAATAACAGTAAAAGCCAGATTCCAATCTCTGGATTGCACAATCCAAACTGCAAACAAACCAGAGTTAGAGGATACAGAACAAAACATGCGAACCCTATAAGACATAATGCTCAAAAACATAATGTAGGGTATTTTAGGACAAGCATTACATACATTTATACTCCATCTGTTTCAAAATAATTGTCGTTTTAACAAATAAATTTTGTTTAAAAATGACTGTTGTTTTCACTTTTCAATGTAGTAATTTTGTTTAAAATGACTGTTGTTTTCACTTTATTCTCTACACTACTTCAAATACATTAAAAGGGTTAATTTTGTAAAAGTACAATGTCTTATGACAACATAATTTCATTCCTTAATTCATGTGCAAAAACCTTTAACGACAGTCATTTTGAAATGGAGGGAGTATTGCATTTAAGGTTAAACTATCATAACTACGGTCTATTTCAGTAATGTAGGAAAATGAAATAAAAAAAATGAAAGAGAATGAGTAACTTACCAATGTAATAGAGAAAAACTTCAAATAAATGCGACGCAGTGAAGTAGAGCTTCAATAAAATGGATAATAGTTATGTGAAAACTTGAAAAAGTGGATAAATTACTTTGTAATTGTGTATGAGTACTCTCTCTTTGCATTATCTATTTTGTTCTTTTTTATAAATGAAAATGTGAAGAGAGTGGAAGGCGCGAGTTACTTAAATAGAAGCGTTTATATTCCAATCTTCAGATCAAATTTAAAATTTTGAAATCCATGTTAGTTTAAAAATTGTGTGGTCCTAATTTAGTTCTAGATTATATCTTTTAGACACGTATGAGTTTCAATGCTCTTTTTCTTTATTTGTGTTTTAAGATCATCTGAATTTTAAAATTAAAAAAAAGAAATTACTTTTAAAATTTTTGTAGGGCGCACAAGTAAAACATGGGGTGCCAATAAATATAACACAAGATTCAAAAAAGCTTTGGGTTATGATTGTAGGAAGCCGCCAGCCCAAAGTATTGTAACTCACATTAGCCCAACCTATTTTTCAAAACAATTTTCATTTGTAGTTTTATTGTTTGTTACTTTGTTATTGGTTCTTTCCTCAGTCATCTTCTTCAACTGCAACTAACTCACACACCCTAATCACCCCCAACATTTCCAAAACAATGGCACTGAATCAACCCATCCCTTACTAATCACTTCCACCATTCATTCAATTTCATCTCCAAACTCAAAACCAAACCATGACAACATCAAAAACAATCTCAGCAGCACTCAAACTCGTTGACACCAAGAAACAAAATCTCAAGAAAGCATACGATGATCTTCAATCCCATTCCCCTCTCCTCTCTTCCTTCCCTCTCTCATGGCCAGACCTCGATTCTCACTTCTCCACCCTCCACAACACTCTCTCTCAACGCTTCACCCATCTCCAAACCCTAGAATCACAACTACATCAAAACCATAACGACCCTTCATCTTCTCCTTCTCAGTTACCTAACCCAAACCCTAAAAATCAAAACTTTACATCAATCGCTAATGACCCATCTTCGTCTTCTAACCCTACAAATCACTTGGAAGCATTGACTGCGTTTTGTAAGAACAATGATGGAAAAGGGTTGAGGATTTACATTGGGGATAATTTTAAGGACAAGGGAATAATGAAAAATGAAATTCAGATTGCATTCAAATCTGCGTCTAATCCTGCTGATATGGTTCTTGATTCAATTGAGGGTGTTTTTGTTGCAAATGCAGTGATTGAAGGGAAAGAACCTAGGTTTATCAAGAAAAGTTTTAGTTTTTTGTTTCAACAGTTGAGGGTTTTTTCTCCGTATGTTAGTTTTGATGTTAGGAAGAAAGCTAAGAGATTGTTTAATGAGTGGAAGGTAAGCATGGTGAATGAGAATCCTGAGGCGAGTTGGGCTATGGCTTTTATGCAATTTGTTGCTGTTTATGGTTTTTTATCTGAATTGAATTTGGGTGAGCTTGCTGCTTATTGTGCTTCTGCTTCTGCTAGTGACGATCTTCCTGATCTGTACCAGATTCTTGCTTTGTCAGATAGAGTTCAAGGTGAACATACTGTAACTGAATTTGATTTGATTTAAAGTTTCATTTTTGAGATGTTAAGGTTAGGAGATGGAATACTGCAATTCTGTTTGTAGCAAGTTAATAGTTACTGTAACCAAACCCTTAATTGAATTTGATTTGACACTGGTTTTTAGTCTTTGCAATAGCGGCTATCCTGGCCCTGCAATCTGCTGTAGCATTTTAAGGTGTTGCAGTGTTATCAAATATCCGCAATTGCGGCGCTATGGCGGATATACTTGGAAGTTCTTGGGCTTGCCGCAATGGTAAAAATTGGCTGATTTTGTGGATTTTTCTGCCATAATCTGTTATAATAGCACCGAAGTGTCTGGTATGGTGGGATTTTGGCTCTCCGCCATGGACAACACTGGGTGTCGGCCCTATGCAATGCTATCTGAGATTAAAAACATAGTTGCAATTGTGTTTGTAACATGTAAATAGTTGCTGTGACACAATTGAGTTTGATTTGATTTAAGGTTTCATTTTTTGAGCTGTTAAGATTAGGAGCCGGTGTGGTGAGTTTCTATGATGATATTGTTTGTGTTGCTTTGTTCTTGGAGTAGGATGTTTGTTGTTGCTGTTGAAATGGTGTTGTCAAATAACAGCCATCTTGTAGTTGTATTTTAATTCACTAATATTATTCCATGATACACAATATACTCCAAATTGTTGTCAAACAGCCGCCATAGCAGCAATATAGCACTGCAGCAAAGCAAAATTTGAACAAAAAATATGCTATTGTTCAGTGAGTTCTGGTGTCCCTCTTTTTGGTTGTTTAATTTGTTTGTGAGACCAATTTTTTCGTGTCTCAGGAGTTATTCAGAAACTTATTGAAAGAAGCAAACATATTTTGGCTGTCAAGTATATTTTTCACTTCAAACTTACCGATAAGATGCCACCAGTTCCCATTTTGAAAGCTTGCGTGGATGATGCGCAAAAACTCGGTAAAAGACTTGCCTCCGAGGGAAAGTCATTGGTATGTATGCACCCCTTGGTTGATTTCCTGGTGGATGATGCAACATCCTATGTTATGTTTATTTAAGTTTCTTCTTGTTTTTTGTTTGTTTGCAGAATGAGATCAAATCTAGAGAAATCCAAGCACTGAAATCAGTGATTAAGGTTATTGAGAGTTATAACCTTGATTCTGAGTTTCCGCGTGCAAGCATTGAACAACGTATAGATGAATTGAATAAGCAGCGCAGAGTCGGTGGAAAGACTGTTGCACCAGCTTTTGCTGCAAAGCCTCTTCTTCAACAACAACAACTTAGTGGAATCAAGCGTCCTCTAACCACTGCTCCATTCGGTGTCGGTAATGCCACATCTACCATATACCAATACCAACAACCTCATTTCCAGCCCACAAGTTTGTTGCCGGAACATCCAAATCCATACACAAGCATGCCACCAGCGCCGTTTGGCATGAAGGCACCAACACCAAATGTCCCCTCCTATACAGTTCCTTCAACTGCACCGCCTTATGGTCTTGATGGTGTCTCAATGGCTCCCAATGGAAACCTCAATCAATCTATTTCTCATCCGAATTCATCACAACAACCACTAGTTATGCCGGGTTATTATGCCCCAATAGGTCCCAGCAGCAACATCGGTCAAGGTGGTTCTCATCCTAACCTGCCAGAGCCACGAGTTATGCCGGGTTATTACGCCCCAATGAGTTCCAGTGGCAACCTCGACCAAGGTGGTTCTCATCCGAATCCGTCTGCTTCTGGCGGCTATGGTATGCAACATTATTACAGAACACCTTATTCTCAATAGGTTAAACAATTGCTTTCTTTTTCTAGTACTTAATTCCAAGCTTATAGGATAGGAATCAGATTAAACAGTTGAGAATCATGACCGATTGTTTTGTTTCACTATTCAATTACCTGTGTCATTTTGCATCGGAAAAGTTCATTTTAGATCAGCCGTAATCTTCTTTGAACTTCTTTGTTCTTGCTCTTCTTAGTTGCAAAAATGTGTCATTTTGCATTGGAAAATTTCATTTTAGACCGGCCGTGAACTTCTTCGTTCTTGCTCTTAGTTGCGAAAATATCTTTGCTTGGCGATGAAGCTTTAGACAGGTTTTGGGAAATAATACTCACTAGAATAGAAACTTTATACTTTCTTAGTAGGTGTAGTTTTACTCTTGTTATAAAACTAGAAAATATATTTAACAAGTTTTCTATGCTTTCATTATTCTTGTTATAAAGTTCTCAAATGGACAACATCTATGTCAAAGAACATGTTGATACTGTGTGATATATGCAACACAAGAAAAAAGATCATTATGTTTTATAATGTCTGTTATTGTAATGTAGTGCTGTCCCTATGGAAAAATAAGCTTTCACTTGCTTAGAATGCTTACTTAATGCAATGTTTTCATTAAATTATAGCAACTAAATTATTTACTAAGTTTGAATTTCAAAGAATTTGTAAAACAAATTTTTATGAATTCAAAGAACTTAATGGATTTTTAGAATTTAGAAGAATTCAATAGATATTTTTATATAAAACACTAGTAATTATAACTGTGCGATGCACATAAAATAAATAATATTAATAACAATTTAATATAAAATAATAATTTAAGTATGTTTTTTATCACTTAGAATTAAAATTGTTAAGTTTGTTAATAATTTCCCCCCAATAAATGTAGGATAATTATGTCAAAGTAAGGTTCAAAGTAAGTACAAGTAAGTGTGAGAGTATAGGTGAATGAATGAATACTACCTGATTAGACTTGGAATGTCACGGCTGACTCGAACTGGATTTGAGAGAGGGGGGGGGGGGGAGGTACCTGCAAGACACTCTGATGAATACCTGACCCTTTTTGAACAGAGGATATTTATAGCCCCCAGCGCTGGGCCAAGGTCCCCTCATTGGATTGACCAGAACTGGCCCAATCAAGGAATTGTCAGGTTCTACGTGTGTAGTGGGGTCCCGCACGTGGTCCCCTTCCTGGTGGTGTTCTGCGAAGAATAACGAAGACGCGGTCTTTCCGGAGCTTAGAGGATTCTATAACGGTTAGAGTGGACAGAATCTGCCCTACGGGGAGGGTGCTTGAGCTGGACTCGAGCTGGAGTTCCCTTGGTCGGGGACACTGCTTGTCGCGGGCAATAGCGGGCATAGCAGCTGCAGTCTGTGGTCGGGCACGTTCGGTGATGGTCCGTTTGTGAGCATTCCTCGAGGAGTTGTTTGGATTTGGGCCTTTATCTGCGCTCTGGGCCAAGGCGGGCCCAATCCAGAACAGGAGCCCCCCAAGTCGTTGCTCCTAGCGCAGGAGTTATGACTTGACCTCAACTCGCCTTTACCACGGGGACCTGATGCGCGGGCCAGGGCTTTGTCTTTCGAAGCGTGCTCGAGGTATTTCCCGCGGGGATACACGGGTTGCGTCCGTCGGGTACGTGGCGCAGTCCTTGGGAATTGTAGCGCCACCTTAGTAATTAGGGTCATCATTGCCTAGGGGAGTAGGTGTCGAGGACGGGGGAGGTTCGTGTTTCCCCGGTGCGACGTTTCAAATTCCACGTCATCCTTATAAATAGGACCCTTGGGCCCATAATTTGTTTTTCCTCTTCACGCTCCTCCCTCTTTCTCTGATTTCGCTGCCGTCGTTTTCCTGCAACGCTGTGAGATCACCGCATCATTCGCCGTTGATTCCTTCCACCGCCGTCATTCGTACCTCTTTTCTTCCAAGTAAGTGTCCGTTACTCCTGTTTTTCTTCGTTGTAGGTAGTTTTGATACTGTTTTTGATGTTAGAAATCCATATATGGGGGTAGTGCCCGGTAGATTCATGACTGTGCTCGGGATACTCATAGTTTAGGTACATAATTCATGATACTGCCCGTGATATTCATAATTTTAGGCATATGACTCATGATACTGCCCGTGATATTCATGCGTTTGGTCGGCATACCCATGAGTTGGTCGGGATGTTCATCCTTTTAGGAAGTATGTAGGGTAGTCTCCTCGCTGTATCCTAGTGTCGGATAGGCGAGGTCAGTACTTGCTCGAGTGATTCATGATTCGCCTGGGGGCGCTCATGCTACGCTCGTGTTGTCCCTGTTGCGTGGTCGGAGCTGGGTGTCCGTGTTCGGCTTATTGTGTACTTCTCCCCGCCTCTGTGGCGAGCAGGCGGATTTGCTCTCGAATTCACCGGTTTCCTGTGCTTTACAGGTAAATGGCCGACAATCCGGAATCCTCGAGGCAAAATGACGCCGAGGAAACAAGCACGGAAGAGAACGTTACATTAGTTGACACTATAGATGACCCCACGTTGGACTGGGTGGGCGCCGAGCCCCGGGGGATTGCTTCGGCATACTGTCGGCGCAGTCGGCGTGCTTATACCGTCATCGAGTATGGCGGCAGTCAGCCAGGTTTTCAAAAGAATTTTATAGTAATGAGGTCGACGATAGACGCCCGTATCTGCTCGGAGTTTATCGAGTACACATTCCCTATGTACGAGATCGTGTTCAAGGATCTCGGTCTTAAGCTACCTGATCTAACCTGATCAGACTTGGACCGTCACGGCTGGCTCCGAGCTGAAAGTTTTGAACGAGGTGGGGGGGGGGGGTACCTGCAAGACACTCCGATGCTGAAGTAAGTAGAAGCACGAGCAGACAATAATAAGTATGGGTAGAATGATGAATACCTGACCCTCTGAAAACAGAGGGTATTTATAGCCCCCAGCGCTGGGCCAAGGTTCCTTCATTGGGCCGGGCAGGTTTGGCCCAATGGAGGAACTGCCAGGTTCTACGTGCGTAGTGGGAACCCGCACGTGGTCCCCTCCCTGGATGTGCAGCGTGAAGTGCGGGCGGACAGAGACGCGGTCTTTTCGGGGTCTCGTTGGGAGTGCAGTGGAATGAGTCTGCCCTAGTTGGGGTGCCCGCGGTGCTGTCGAGCTGGACGGCAGGATGTCAAGCTGGACAGTTTGAGGTCGAGCAAGTAACCTCAGGGAGCACGTCGGGCACGGCTGTGTCCCTTTGGTCGGCGTGGTCCTCAGCAAGTCCATTTGGATTGGGCCTTATCAATGCTATTGGGCCTGTCGGGCCCAGTCCAGAACAGGAGCCCCCCAAGTCGTGGTTCCTTGGTTAGGAGCCATGGCTTGATCTTAGGTCGTTTCCGTTTCGGGGTCTCGCGCCCGGGTCAGAGATGCAGGTCCTCGAGGGCCTCTCCGTGTCGTGCTCGGAGACAAATCTTTCGTGGTGGATGCTCGGGGAATCCTCACCGGCGTGCATCTGTCGAGCGCACGGGGTATCTTTCGGGAACTGTGCCGCCACCCTATGATGATAGGGTCATCATTGCCTTGGGAGCCGTGCGTCGAGGAGAGGAACTCCGTGGTTGCCCGAGGTGACGTTTGGTATTCCACGTCATCACTATAAATAGGATCCTTGGGCCCCATAACGCGTTACTACTCTTTGCGCTCCTACTGCTGCTGTTCTTCCAGATTTTCATAGCATAGCTGCGATTCCCGTCACAGATTCCTTCCATCCGTTGCAGAACTCACTCCTTGATTGCAAGTAAGTGATTTATCTTCTTTGTTTTTCTGTTGTGATGCATGATTTTCACCGTTGTAGACGTTTTAAGGACTGTGCGAGTGGGACTAGCCCGGTATATTCATGTTTAGCTAGACAAACTCATGCTTAGGACCGGCAAACATATGCTCGTGGCCGGTAGATACATAGTTTAGGTTACAATCTGAAGTGCTGCCCGGGGTCTTCATGATCCAGGGCGCCTGATTCATGATCGTGCCCGGTATGTTCATGGCTATGACCGTAGATTTCATGATGTTGCTCGCCATGTTCATACCTTGGGTCGGCATACTCGTGAATGACCGCGTTGTCGGTTTGCTTAGGCGGTTTGGAGAAGGTCTCATCGAGTTATCCGGACGTCGGGGAGGCGACTGTTATGTTGTTGCAAACTAACTTTTGTGGTCGTGCATGGAGCGACGTGGTTTGTCGTACACTACATCTGGTCCGTTACGTCGAGCGTATGGTTTCGTGCCCAATTGACTGGTTTCCCGTGCTCTGCAGGTAACCATGGCGGACGAGCCGTGCTCCTCTGGACGCCTCGAACGGGAGGAACAAAGTGCCGACGAGGCGGTGAGTTTGATCGACACTGTCAACGACCCTCTGTTGGATTGGGTGGGCGCCGAGCCCAGGGGAATCGCGTCGATCTATAGCCGGCGTAACCGAAAGCCATATGCTGTCCTCGAGGCGGGCCACTGTCAGCCTGATTTCCAAAAGAATTTCGTTGTTACGCGACCGACCTCCCATGCCCGGATCTGCTCGGTGTACCCAGAGTATAGCTTCCCGATGTACGAAGTTGCGTTCAAAGATCTTGGGCTGCAGCTGCCCTTCAGTGACTTTCAGACCGGGGTCTTCGCCCATCTGGGGCTGGCCCCGTCGCAGCTACACCCTAACTCGCTCGCCTTTATCCGGGCGTTTGAGCTGACATGTCGTTTTCTGAGGATTGGGGCGACTATACCGCTCTTCTTCAGAATTTTCCATCTGCAGCGCCAGTCCCGAGGAGGGAAGCACAACTGGGTCTCCTTAAAACAGTCGAGGAGACTATTCAAGATGTATATGGACTCCGTAAGGGGTTTTAAAGACAAGTGGTATGTCGTGAGGCCGGTTACCACGCCTGCTTTAGAATCCCTGTACGAGGAGGAGGCGCCCATAAGTGATGATGACGGGGAGGCGGTTTTAGACAACAACGGATATCCCGTGATGGCCCGCACGACCAAGTTCCCTGTGCATTGGATGTTCAGGCATTATGAGCACGGGACTGGATACTATCATACCGCTGCGGGCGACATGTGTTCGGAGGACGAGAAGGCGTACGCCACTCTTTGTCGGTTCGTCGACAGCTTCCACCCCGCCCGGTGGGCCACGAGGGAGGGGGAAGATGTCTTGGACGAGGAGGGTTATCCGATTTTCGAGTCCCGGTCGATCGATACTAAGGCACTCGTGGAGTGCCAGTCGTTCAGACAGGCTATTCGTCTGCTAGGTCGTTTATTGCTTAACTTTCTTTGCTTGTCATTTATTTATGAACTTGCTTGACACTAACCCGTCTTTTATTTTGTGCAGGTTCGATGGCCGGGCGACGGGAAAGACTCTTGAAGCTGTCTTGCGACCAGAAGCGGGGTAGGAGGGTCGTGAAGGCTCCCCAGGCAACGAGGATGGGCCCACCGCATAGTCCGGGCGCTCCTCAGGTGGTGAGGGTGGATTCGTCGCCCAGCTCGGGGGCCGCGTCGGATGAGATCCCAGAGGTTCAAGAGGTCGAGCCACATGCCGACCTGATACAAAGAAAGAGGAACCGGGTGGAAAGCGGGCCGACGGTCGGCGAGGACACCAGCGCCGTCAGGTCCTTCGAGTTCCCCCCTTGCTTCAAAGAGGAGGGTTTCTTCGAGAGATTCCCTCTGTCCGTGGTTGCCGACGAGGCTGAGACTATCAAGAGGATGAGTAAGGAGGATCGGAAGAGGCACCTGGCCGCCAGCATGGCCGGGCTGGTGAAAATGGCCGAAATGGCCCTGGTGCTGTCCGAGGAAAGGGAGGACCCTGTCCGTATTGAAGAACTTGAGCAGGAGAAAGCGGCTCTCACCTCGAGCTCGCGGAAGTTAAGGACTGCCCTGGAACGCTCCGAGGAGATGTTCCGCGAGCAGGCATCGCTGCTGGCCGCTGAGAGGGAGATGTTGGTCCTGGAGAAAGAAAATTCGGGGAAGCTAGCCGAGGAGGGAGAGCTTCTCCGCGCAGACAGGGATCGTCTGGAGACTGACATCGGGCGCCTGACCCAACAGATCGAGGACATGAAAGTCGCCATGCTTCCTGCCGAGGACGAGCCGGAGGATATAGCGGCTTTGAAGAGTCGATCGGAGCTGGTCGCCCATATCCGGCTACTCGAAGCAGATTGCGTCGGTGCTCTGGAGGAGGGGTTCGACTCCGCAGTCGGCTTGCTTTCCTTGTTAAACCCTGGTTTGGTCACTGAGGGGACGGGCTACACGCATCAGATCGTGGATGGCGCGATCGTGCCCCCGCCCGACTCTCCTGTTGTTGACAATGATGGTTTCGGGGAAGCCTGATTGTAGGATAGCGGGCCTGCGTGCCTTTGATATTTGTATTTTTTGGGCCTGCGTGCCTGTTGGTTGTACTTTATGAACATCGCCGGCCTTCTTGGTCGGTTTATAATTATTTGCTTTGTTGCCTTCAGGCATTTTTTTGAATGAATGCTGTTTTACATTTGATCGTTTGCCCGTGCTTGCAATCTTATATATTTGCATAAAATTTAGCCTAAGTTATGGGCCCGAGGAGTGCCCGTAAGTGGCTGTGACTTAGCTGGCGAGTTTGCCCGCCTTTCGTTTGTATGCGTGCCCGACCTTCTTTCGCTGGCCAGAGTCACCTAAGTGTTGCACTCGAGGGGAGAGACTTCCTTTTGACCCTTTTTTAGATGGCCCACCATTCTTGACGACTTGTCGGGCAGATGGAGCGGAGTTGCTCAGTCGGGCGCGAAGCCCGGTAGGGACTGTTTGCCCTTGGTGTGAACTGCCCATCGCGAGCTGGGTGTTCTGCCTTACAGGTACTACGACGGTGAAGCTCGGTGTAGTTGTTCACGTCGGGCACTATCGATTGGTCTCATTTGCCGAGCGATGCTGTGCGATTTAGCCGTATGTCGGGCTTGTACCTCAACCTTTATACGGAGTCAGACGTTTTTCCTCGTTGACCGAGCGCGGGTGCCGTTGGTCGAGGGTCCTAGGTGTTGGTAGTTTTTAACTGTAGTACTGCTTTAGCTTAGCAGCGTTCCAGGGTCGTGGTAATGGCTCTCCGTCTAATTGCTCGAGATAGTACGCCCCGGTACCAGTGGTGCCGTGGACGCGATAATGTCCTTCCCAGTTCGCGGCCAGCTTCCCTTCGCGGGAATCCTTCTGGTTCCTACGTAATACCAGGCTGCCGATTTCGAACTCGCGCTTGATGACCTTGTCGTTGTGGCGTAGAGCCACTCGTTGTTTTAGGGTGGCTTCGCGCAGGGCTGCACCAGATCGGATTTCCTCGACTAGATCGAGTTCGTCCCTCAGTGCCTCGTCGTTCATTTCTTCGTCGAGGGGGATTTCGGTCCGTCTGGATGGTTCCATGATTTCGACCGGGATGACGGCCTCGGTGCCATATGTCAGTCGAAATGGCGTCTCGCCCGTCGTTGAGTGGGGCGTGGTGCGGTATGCCCATAGGACGTTGTGAAGTTCCTCGACCCATCCCCTCTTTGCTTCGCCGAGTCTGTGCTTGAGTCCTCGGAGGATGACTCTGTTCGCGGCTTCGGCTTGCCCGTTGGTCTGAGGGTGCTCGACCGACGTGAAGTGTTGTTTTGTTCCTAGTTTGGTGACGAAGTCTTGGAACCCGTGGTCGGTGAGCTGGGTACCGTTGTCGGTCACCAGGGCCCGCAGAATTCCGAATCTGGCGAGGATGTTTCTTTTGTAGAAACGGAGGATATTGTGCGAGGTGATCTTTGCGAGGGCCTCGGCCTCGATCCATTTCGTGAAGTAATCCACGGCGACGATGAGAAATTTGTTCTGATATGTTCCTTGCACGAAGGGCCCGAGGATATCCATACCCCACCAGGCGAATGGCCATGGGGACGACAGTATGCTCAGCTCGTGCGGAGGGGCGAGGTGCATGTCCCCGTGTTTCTGGCACTTATCACATTTCTTGACGTGTTCCTTGGCATCCTACTGCATCATCGGCCAGTAGTATCCCGCTCGAAGGGCTTTCCTTGCTAAGGATTTACTGCCCATGTGCTGGGCGTTGATCCCTTCGTGTATCTCCCGCAGTACTTCGAGGACTGTGGACTCGTCGATGCATTTCAGGAGGGGGATGGAGAATCCTCTTCGGTACAGTTTCTGCTCGAGAACCACATAGGAACATGCTCGTCGCTTGGTGACGGTAGCTTCGGCCTGGTTCGATGGGAGTTCGCCTTTTGTCAGGAAATTATAAACCGGGGTCATCCAGGACGTCGCATCCCCGATGGCATGGATCTCGACTGTAGTCGAGGGTCGTTCGATACTTGGACGCGTTAGAGATTCCTGGATGACGGATTTGTTCCCGCCCTTCTTTCGTGTGCTTGCGAGTTTGGACAATATGTCCGCCCTCGTGTTTTGCTCGCGGGGAACATGTGAAATTTCTGCTCGTACGAACTTTGTCATGTATTTTTTGACTAAGTTCAAATACTCGATGAGGTTATCGTTTTTGGCCTGGTAGCTCCCTGTACTTGAGAGGTGACGAGCTGGGAGTCGGTGTAGATCTGTACCTCGCGGGCTCCCAGGTCCTCGGCCAGTCTCAGTCCTGAGAGCAGGGCTTCGTATTCTGCCTGGTTGTTTGACGTCGGGAAGGAGAGAGCTAAGGAGTGCTCGATTACTACGCCTTCTTCGTTTTCCAGGAGGATTCCTGCGCCGCTTCCGGACGAGCTGGATGCTCCGTCGACGAAGATGGTCCACTTGTGTTCTTTTCCCGGGGGAGGGTCGTGAGTGGTCATTTCCGCGACAAAGTCGGCCAAGGCCTGTGCTTTCAGGGCTTTCCTGCTTTCGTACTGAATGTCGAATTCGAAGAGTTCCAAGGACCACTTTAGCATTCTGCCCGCCATATCTGGCCGACCCAGGAGTTGCCTCACCGGTTGGTCGGTTCGCACGATGATGGTGTGGGCCAGAAAGTAGTGTCTGAGCCTCCTCGCCGCGTTGACGAGGGCCAGAGCAACCTTTTCTATCTGCTGGTATCTGCTTTCGGGCCCCTGTAAGGCCTTGCTCGTGAAGTAGACGGGTTTCTGCCCGTCGGGGGTCTCGCGGACAAGAGCTGCGCTGATGGCTTCGTTCGAAACGGCCAAGTACAAGTACAGCGGTTCCCCGTCGTCTGGTCGAGATAGCACGAGCGGCTGAGACAGGCTTTGCTTTAGGTGGCGTAGTGCCTGCTCGCATTCCTCATTCCATTCGAAGGCTGCTTCCTTTCGAAGGAGTTTGAAGAAGGGGAGGGCGTGCTGAGCGGATTTCGCGACGAAGCGGGACAGCGACGTGAGCATGCCGTTCATGATTTGTATCGACTTCTTCGACGTTGGTGTTGGGAGGTCAGAGAACGCCCGACATTTGTCGGGGTTGGCTTCGATTCCCCGTTCTGTTAGATAGAATCCAAGGAATTTTCCTGCCTTAACCCCGAACGTATATTTCTCGGGGTTGAACCTCATTTTACACTGTCTTGCTTGGGCAAAGACTGTCTTGAGATGAGCTGCGTGGTCGGTGTCCGCTCGGGACTTGACGATCATGTCGTCCATATATACCTCGAGCATGTCGCCTATCTGTTTGTTGAAAACTTTGTTCATCATGCGCTGGTAGGTTGCTCCGGCATTTTTCAGTCCGAAGGGCATTACGTTGTAGTAATAGTTGCCCGAGCTGGTCATGAATACCGTGCAGTGTTTGTCGCCCAGAGCCATTGGGATCTGGTTATAGCCCGAGTAGGCGTCCATGAACGACAACGTTTTGTAGCCGGCCGAGTTGTCGACTAGCATATCTATGTTAGGCAAGGGAAAAGCATCTTTCGGGCAAGCCCGGTTGAGATCAGTATAATCAACGCACATTCTCCATTTTCCATTATTCTTTTTCACGAGTACAACATTTGACAGCCAGGTGAAATACCGGGCTTCAGAAATAAAATTTGCCTCTAGGAGGTCTTTTACAGCTTTTTCAGCAGCCTCCGTTTTTTCTGGAGACTGCCTAAGCCTACGTTGTACTACGGCCTTAGCGGCTGGATCAATGACGAGGTGGTGACAGGCGACCTCAGGATCGAGTCCGGGCATCTCCGCAGCGCTCCAGGCGAACAGATCAGCATTCTCGCGCAGACAGACCTTGATTTGCTTCCTGCCAAGTCGGGGAGGTCTTTGCCAATTTTCACTCCCTTGGTCGGGTCTGTGCCGAGGGGAACGAGTTCAAAATCCCCGTCCGGTATTGGTCGGAGTGGGATTTGCTCGCTGTTGGATGGCTCGTCCTGATCGAAGCGGGTGTCCAGGGCTATGGAGTCGACCTTTGGTGGAGCTTTCTGGACTTCTTCCTCGGGGGATGCTTTCCTGTCGGGCTCCTGTTTTGTCCTTTTGGCGGGTCTGGTCCCTATGTCGACGGTATCCCGTCCCTTAGAAGCGGCGTTGAAGCACCTACGGGCAGCGGCTAGGTCTCCTTGGATGGTGGCTACCCGTGCCCTCCTGGTGTAGAACTTCATCTTCAGATGGACGGTCGAGGGCACCGTTGTTAGCTCTGCCAGTGTCGGTCTCCCCAAGATGCAATTGTACAGAGACGGGCAGTCAATGACGAGGAAACGGACTTTAACTTGTCTCGTAGTCGTTCCTTCGCCGAACGTAACCAGGAGCTCGACATAACCCCAAGGTTTGGAAGTCGAGCCGTTGAAGCCTTGTAGATCCGACCCCACATACGGAGAGAGATATGAGTCGTCCAGCTGTAGGGTTCGGAAAAGTTGGCTGTACATCACGTCGACGGAACTCCCCTCGTCGACCAGGATGCGATGCGCGTCGAAATTGGCCATTCTTGCCCTTATCAGTAAGGGGATGACCGCGTTCGGGGCTCCGCCGGGGAGCTCTTCTAGGTAGAAGGTGATGGGCTATGACCTGCCCTTCACCCTTTCGAACGTTACTGTTTGCGGGGGGGGGGGGGGGGGGGGCGTCGACCAGCTCATCCAACTTCCTCTTAGCTGAATTGATGGTGAGGTCGTTGAACCCGCCCCCATTAATGACCATGGCGGAGGGAAAGTATTCCCACCTGCTGTGCGTCGTC